TCCGGGGGCGGCTCCAGCTGCGGTGGAGGCTACTCCGGTGGCGGCGGCGGCGGCGGCTGCGGTGGTGGCTCCTCCGGGGGCGGCTCCAGCTGCGGAGGAGGCTACTCCGGTGGTGGCGGCGGCAGCTGCGGCGGCGGCTCCTCCGGGGGCAGCGGCGGCTACTACTCGTCGCAGCAGGCCACCCAGAGCTCCTGCGCTCCCCAGCAGAGCTACGGAGGGGGCTCTTCAGGCGGAGGTGGTAGCTGCGGAGGCGGCTCCTCTGGTGGCGGCGGCGGCGGCTGCGGCGGAGGCTACTCCGGTGGCGGCGGCTGCGGCGGAGGCTACTCCGGTGGCGGCGGCTGCGGCGGAGGCTACTCCGGTGGCGGCGGCGGCGGCTGTGGCGGCGGCTCCTCCGGGGGTGGCAGCGGTGGTTGCGGAGGCGGCCACTCCGGGGGCGGCGGCGGCGGCTCTAGTTGCGGCGGCGGCTCCTCTGGGGGCGGCTCTGGAGGTGGCAAGGGTGTCCCTGTCTGCCACCAGACCCAGCAAAAGCAGGCGCCTAGCTGGCCCTGCAAGTAAGGTCCCCAGGTTGCCACGGAGACGAAGGAGCTGGAGGTGTTCTCCGTGGGCGCCGGCAGGCTTAACTTTCTCATGAGATTGCCCGAGGGTTTCCAGACCCTTCGCATCTTGACACCCCCCACCCCCGCCCCAGAAGAAGCCATTGAGTCACTCAACCTGCATCTTGTTCTGCAGATGTTCTGTCTTGGTTTCTGAATGACTACCTCCCAACTCCAGTACCTCCTCAGTCAATAAATTTGCAATTCATGAGAATCTCTGAGTCTCCAGTAGTTTTTGCAGCCTGTAAATTCACTCACTCCATCCTGTCCTCGCTTCTTCCACTTATTCATTCACACTTACATTAATTCAACAAGTATTCTATCCAAAGGTAGGGGGAGTAGATGGGATGGCTGGCAAGTGATGACCAAGAATGTGAACCAGTTTGTCCCCCAAACACAAAGGACAGTCTTCACTGGACATCTTCCACATCCCTGTGAGTTGGGCAGTCACCAGGGGTGGGTCAGGTCTTCTTAAGGCAGCCTACCAGGCAATTTCTTGCAGCTCGGAATTTACTCTCCAAGTTCTGGAAGTCGGGCGGCTTTGTCCAGCAGCACTAGCATGCCGCAAGGACTAAGAAAGAAAGAAACGCAACAGCCCCTTTGAAACTGTCCTCTCCTGCCCCTTTAGCTCTTCTGCCCCTTCCCAATCCTTTGTGCTGAAGAGAACCCTTTGATCAGATTTTAGCTAACTAGATACCAGAGGTCCAAGTCCATTGACATGTTCTGACCAGAGAAGAAGGGCATGACCCCTGGACCAGAAGACCCCTGCCCAGGTAATCTTCCTGCTGATTGTAACTACTTTCCTTTCTCCATAAGTCCATGACCCATGGTAGAGCGTTGAGACAAAATAAAATAAAATAAAATAAAATAAAATAAAATAAAATAAAATAAAATAAAATAAAATAAAAAGCAAAACCCACTATGTCTTCTCAAGATTGCCAGTCCTTGAATAAACCTGATTCCTTCCCACCAATGCAGCTCTACTGAATACTGATACCAAAGCAGGGGAATGCCTGGTTTTGTTACTGTTAGCAAAATATTACATCAGATACTCAAGAGCCTCCACAGTGTGCGAGGTACTCTACTGGACATCTACAGGGACAGAAGGCGGCCCTCTTGAAAGGTTAAAGGAGGGCTTTCATCCAACTTGGAAGGTATACCATAAATGTGTGAAAGGCTCAACTTCAGTACCACAGGTACTAGAAGTCCCATCAGTACAGCCAGGTCACTGGAGAACATAGGAAATCTCGTAACTAACCAAGAAGAAGCTAGAGTTGCTCCAAGGGATTTGTGACCTATGCAGCAGTTGGCTGGATGCAGACTGTCTCCTGGCCAGATCCTATTTCATAGTCAGATTTTATCAGCTTTTAGGCAAATGTTAGCTTACTGATTTACTCAAATTAATTGTGCTACATTAAAAAGTCAATATGCCTTTCCGATGTTCAGTTAATGTTAGAAACAAAAAGACTTCACATGACTCTCCCATGTGGAGTCATCACCACCTTCATCATTTTGCATCAGAGACAGAGAAAGCAAACCAAGTAGCAACCTCAGTGACACGGTAGTCCAACCACCACGTTTTTAATAACTAAGTTTATTCTCTAACATGGTTATACATGCCACATAATACATCCTGATTACTCACAGCCCTATCCTTTTCTATCTCCCTCCCAACTCCTACCGGTCACCACATTCCCTACAAAACTCTTTCCCACATTCTTGTCATTTTTTGTTGGTTTGTTTTGTGGCCCACTGACCAGGGCCATCTGTATGACCATGGGTTTGGAACTGTCCATTGGACTCTTGGGGTCACCACTGGGTACACAACTGAAGCAAATGACTCCCCTTCACAGAATCTATCAGTAGACACTGGTTCAACAAGGAGTGGTGGATCTCCACGAGTCCCTCCTCCATCCACGGCTAAGTGTTGGCAGGAGCAGTCTTGTACAGGCCTAGGTCAGGTAACCATAGCTGCTGTGAGTTCATGATTGCAGCGACTGTGTTGTGCGTAGAAGATGATATTGTTCAGCCTTCCTCTCTACCTTCTGTCTCTCACATTCTTTCCCCTCTTCTGGGGTGTGCTTTGAGTCTTAGAGGAATGTTTTGGTTAGGACTGAGTGCTCAGTTGTCATTTATTCTCAGCATCTTGAGCAGCCATGAATTTCTGCATTCACTACTGTTCTGTGCCTAGAGGCTTCTCTGATTAAGTTTGCAAGTAGCATTTGTCTATGAGCATAAACACAGATGTTTAGAAAGCAGTTTGATGCTACATCTATTTGGCTAAGAAAGGGTAGTAAGTGCCAGGTGGTGGTAGCACATGCCTTTAATCCCAGCACTCGGGAGGCAGAGGCAGGCGGATCTCTGTGAGTTCGAGGCCAGCCTGGTCTACAACGCAAGTTCCAGGAAAGGCATAAAGCTACACAGAGAAACCCTGTCTCAAAAAAAAAGGGGGGGGGGTAGGTAGTAAGATTCTCCCTAGGAACTATGACCTCCCTATCCATGTGTTTTGTATTTTATGCTTTGTTTTGTTTTTTAACCAGATTTGTAGTACTAGGCATGATTCCCTCCTGTGGATCAGATCTCTAATCCAGAGGGCTGCGAGTTACCCTACAACAGTTGTGCTACTGTTGCACAAGTGGCACCTCTTGTCTTGCAGCTTAATACTGCAATTTGTGGGTTTCACTGGGTAAAATCATTGATACCTTTTTCTCCCCTAGTAGCTTAATACTGCAATTTGTGGGGTTCACTGG